ACCACAAAAAAAAAAAAAAAAAAGAGAGAGAAAGAAACCCCTCTCTTCTCCTTTATCTTCTGGTTGATTATTGGCTTTGCACTCATTCCATTCTGCTGAGGAATCATATAATCATAGATCCTTTGAAGATTGTTTTTATTTCACTTTTTCCTCTTTTTTCCTGCAAGCCCATAAACTCCATCCAAATTGGTGCATCTATCAAGAGATCATTTACTTTTGTTGATGAGAGTTGTTCTGCTATTAGGGTTATGCCACATTTTATTTAACTATTCACCCAAAGAAGAATATGTGGGCTGTTTCTGGTTTGGGGCTAGTATGAAGTTTTTGTATAAACACAAGTTTTTAATTTTTCCAGATAAATGCCCAGCAGTACACTTGCTAGGTCATATGTTAAAAGTATGCCTAACTTTTTGAGGAACTGCCAATCTAATTTCAAGAATGACTATACCTATACATTTAGATTCCCATGTTACACATGAGAGGTAATATAATAGTCATGATTTCTAACATTTTTTCCATAAGCCTAAAAAAACTAGATCGTCTCCTAAATTTTATAACCTTAAAATTTTTTAAAACAGAAATTTTTAAAAATTTTTTTCTGGTTCCCAGATACTTTTTATGACCTCTACAGGTAATTTACAATTTATGATATTTGTATAAAATTTATAATTATAATAATCTGTACATTGATAGCTATGGTCATATAGCAAACTGCAAAAAAAAAAAAAAAAAGGTGAAGTACATTTAAGCCCATAGTAGAAACAGTAAACATTCTTCTTCCAGTCTATGAAGACTAAAACTTCAACAGCACTTTCTAGTACTTAGTATTGTGAAATGTGATCCCAATGCATTAATATATAATCATCAAAAGATGATACACATATGAGTTCCGCTGACACATGGTAAACAATTTGAGAAAAAAAAACCTGAAATACAGTGTAGTTATCTTGGCTATGAGATAAAACTAACAATTATATAATGCAGTCTGGGTTCTTAAAACAAGGAGCTAAGTCTAGCGCAGACATAGTGGCTCACATGCAAACAGTAGGTATACTGGCAGTCCACAAGGAGAAAATTAGCACAAAAAAAAAATTATAAGACTTCAAAAAAGGTCTTATAATAGGATGGTAACTGTCTTCAGTTCAATTCTTATTTTTAGCTCTTTGTGCAACCATTATGTTCCTGATACTGAGTTGTATTAAGATGAATGTTTCCTTCCAATGTTAAGTATATTTACTTTAAATACATATAACATTCTTGAATCTCAAAATAATTACTTTGCAATTCAATTATATCTTCACATTTAATGTGCAACTTACTGGTAAACATTTTAGTGTATGTTTTTGTTGGGGTTTTTTTATTTGTTTGTTTGGTACTGGGGATTGAACCCAGGGGCACTTAACCACTGAGCCAAATTCCTGGCCCTTTTTTTGTATTTTATTTTGAGACAGGGTCTCACTGAGTGGCTTAGGGCTCGCTAGTTGCTGAGGCTGGCTTTGAAATCACAATCCTCCTTCCTCGACCTCTTGAGCCACTGGGATTACAGGCATGTGCCACCAGGCCCAGCCTAAAATATGTTTAATGATCATCCCAAAATATGCCAGTGTAAAGAGTGTTTATCTTAATTTTGAAATCCGAGAACACTGGTTCTCATTCTTTAGGGTTAAACCCACTGAGAGATAGGAGTTATTTCAAGGACTCATCAAAATCCATGGACAGTCATGTGCCACACAGTGACATTTCTGTCAATGGATTACACAAATGAAGCAGTCCCATAAGACTGCATCACCTTGGGCTGGGGTTAAGGCTCAACGGTAGAGCACTCACCTAGCAAATGTGAGGCCCTGGGTTCAATCCTCAGCACCACATAAAAATAAATAAAATAAAGGTATTGTGTACAACTAAAGGTACAACTAAAAAATAGATATTTAAAAAAAAAAGTGACGTGGTAGCAGTCAGTTTGTATCAATACTACAATATTCACACATCACTAAACGATATATTTCTCATTTCTCAAATCATCTCTCTGTTGTGCAGTGAGTCATGACTATACTTACCTGAACACCAAATAAAAAATATCGTTCACAAAAAAAAAAATTGTTTTCAAAGTTGACAAAAAGATGCTATGAGTAATAAAATTCTTAACAAATTTACTGAAGAATGTTAGTAAAAGTAGTTTCTTGCCATCTGTACTTAGTGATGAATATTAAAAACCTAATATTAGTATAACTGGGGAGGATACTACATACCTCTATAGAAATTTTTTTTTAATGCTGCCTGTATGTCATCCAGAACAAGGATGTGTATAGTTTTGAGCACAAAGATTTGAAGCAGCATTGGGAGAGATGGAGCAAGAGTAATTGAGAAAGCACATGAAATTACTTCAAAACATCAGCCTCAGAATATGGAGCACTTAAATCATCATTCAGGAGTCAAGGTGGGTCAGGATCCAATGGCATAACCTTCTTCACCTCCTTATAATGGCAAGTAGGAAGAGTCACAGAAACTTTGGTTGAAAAGACCAAATATAGAGTACAAATACATACTGGTTAGCACCTAGCAAAAWGCTTTGGAGGCATTTATAATCTTTCTAAATTAATCTTGCATTCCTATAAAAAATTCCACATTTTCTACATTTCACCAATACTGTAGTTTTTCAAATGTGCCTTATACATTCACCAGCTGAGTGTATGCCAGATGTTAAATAACTAAAGTCAAAAAGAACAGTCTACATTAATTTAAAACAAAGAAAATTTGCTTCAACAAAACAGGACAAGAATAGACTTTGCACCTAACGCAATTCCTGGTAAATGGTAGGCAGGTGATCTCTAGTGAATAAATGAATCCACTTTTTTCTCACTCTGAAAAATAACCTCAGCAAGTATACAAAACATCCAACCAGTCTGAAGAATATTCTCCAGTCCTATTCAGTTACCAATAATTTTCAGAACCCATCAAGACCAATTTTCAGGAAAGCCTCGCTCACTCACACAAAGCAGCAGCATTAATTCCCATAAGGCTCACTGCCTGATATGTGCAGATAAGAGCATTTGCACATTTGCATAAATTCAGGAGTCATCCTTTTTTCATTTGATGTAAGGTAAATTTCAAAGCTTTGCTGCATTTCCAAATTTTTATTTTTTCAAATAAAAGACATTTTAAAGTTTTATTTTCTAATCAAAATCCTATTCATAGTATATCTTATTAGGGATGCTTTAAAGGGAAAAAAAGTTGTCAAAATTAAAATCTTGCTTCTCTTTTCCTAGACATCTGGGACAGTTACTTTATTACTATTTCACATTAGTTCTCAAACTTTAAAAAAAAAAAAAAAAGTTGGCCTGTTTCCTTTAAGAAATTTAATTTTAGGGTCTGTCAACATTTTGAATGCATTACTGTTATTTTTAAAATATACATTCGCATACTGGAATAAAACTTAGCATAAGCTTCCCATATAACCATTTCCTGGGCACTTACTAACTTAGTATATGCCAGGCTCCATGCTTAACACATTACTCCATTATCTCATTTGTTTAACAAATATCCTCTCATAATTTCTGCAGCACTGAGCATAACAAGAAGGCATTACACTACAAAACTGATATTTGTACTGTATACTGGTACTGTACTAAATTGACAGTAATGCCTAACACAAGCTTATTGTTATTAAATTCTACTTCTGCTACTGTATCTGATCAGCCATGCTAAGATGCACAAATACCATCTGTGGTAGCATCAACACAACCGAGAAAAGCTATTATTAAATGATAGAGTACTTAAGTTACATTCCCTTCTACAACATAGGTAGCAGACAAACACAATCTTATCTACCCATAAATTTAATTCCAGTTAGTACATATCATTTTGAATGGCAAAACAAAACCCGCATAAAATGACTATGTAAAGAACTCTTGGGGCTGGCGCGGTAGCTCAGTGGCAGAACGGTTAGGTTCGATCCTTAGCACAACAAATAAAATAAAGGTATTCGGTCCATCTACAACTACAAAAAAATTAAAATTAGAAAAACTCTTGCTTCTGAAATTATTTTAAAATTGTAGATATGCTCAGCATGTCATGAACAGCACGATGCCTTTATTCTGAACTCTTAAAAATAAATGCTGCCCTTCAACGTTTTTCAGTCTTTTTTTTTTTTAATTTCAGACTCAACAGATGGACAAATCCAGTCCAAAAAAAAAAAAAAAAAACTGAAACACATAATTAATGAGGCTCTTCAACAGTCCCCTAAATTTAACCCCACGATTCTCCCAGGAGCAAAACTGGTATTTCCAAGTTGTTCCATAAAATGGAAATGGGACACCACCCTCCTCACCGCCGCCGCGGGGGAAGAGTCCAGAAAAACGGGTGATTTGAAAGAAAAGATGTTAAAAGGGGTTAAAAAAAAAAAAAAAAAAGAATGGGTGGCCTCAAACTAGCGTCTCTGTCACTGCGACTGTCTGTCCCGAACTACCTTGTGGGGAAAACGAGGTGCAGCCCTGGAACGTAAAGGGTGGCGCCCCGTCAACTAGAGACCCGAGGGGGAAGCGTCAGGACGACCGTAAAAACCGCGGGCGCCGGCGCGGGCTCAGCCCCGCGCGGCAGGAAGCCGAGCAGAAGCGGCGGCCTCGGCCTGGACCGGGAAGGCCCCAGGTCCGGGTCACCCCGCCCGCGGCGGCCTGGCCAGGACCGGGAAGGCCCCTACGAACGCGCACGCCGGCGCCACGCGGCCGTCCCGTTCCCCTCCAGACCCGGCCGCGGCCTGGCCCGCCCGGCGGGACGCGGCACCATCGCGCACACGGGGCCGGGTTCACCGCCGCCCGGCCCGGCGGCCGTGCAGGGCTGAGTGTGCCCCGAGCGCTGGCGGCCGCGAGGGAGGCCAGGAAGGCGTGAACGCCGGTGCTGGCTGAGGCGGCCGCCGATGCCCTCGCCGTCCCACCCGGCGGCCCGCCTCCGGGCCCCGGCTCGGTGCGCGAACCCTAGGACCGCACCGTCCGCGGCCTCCCTACCCCGAGCCGCAGACCCGTCGCCTTCGGCCCAGTACGAACTTCCCGCCGCTGTCGCCGACTCGCAACTCGGCGGCGACGCCGGCCCCTCTACACCCGGCAGTACGGAGCCTTCCCATTGGCTCTGAGCGACGGAGGAGGCGGGGCGAGGGGTACGCGGCGGGACGGGGGTGGGGCGGTGTTTTCCCCGTCTCCCTTGCATGCCGGGAGCTGTGGTCCACGCGCCCGCTGCATGCTGGGAATTGGAGTCTTGGAGGCAAAGTAGGGCGCCGTCCCTCCGGCCCCTAGGGCTTCTGGGAAGTGTGGTTCACAGTTTCTGACTCCGACCTTCTGAACACACTGAACTATCACTGGTAGGGACCATAGTACATGTGGCCGGTGTTCAGAGTTATTGAGTGTATTGACAGAGCATAGGATGAAAAAGAAGACCTATGTCCCCATTGGCTGAGTGCCCTGCACACTCGAATTTGCCTTTGACTGTCTATGGAAGAAACCACATGCAGTTCAAATTCTAGCCCTTCCATTTTAGAGCTTTGCAACCTAAGGGAAGTTACTTAACCTCTGTGAGCCTTGGCTTCCTGGTTTTGTCAGGATTAAATGAGACAATGTATAGGCAATAGTTTGCACTTGGTGCTCAATAAATATGAGAGGGCCTTACTATTATTATTCTGCTCACCTGTTGCCTGGTGTCTAAATTCTGTCTTTCAAAGTCTGTTTCAGTGTATACCTAATCCTTTGCAAAATTTCAGATGTAATTTCCTTGTACAAGTTTGCCTTGTATTTATAATCACTTGTCTAAGTCTGCATATCCACACAAGCTTTTTGCAGACTGGGGTGCTGTTTTAGGTCAAAATCACAAGACCATACGCAAAGGGAGATTTACAATGAAGCATGAGTGTCAGGACCTCTCTTTCATGATATGTTTCAAAGCCCTGGGAAGAACCTTAACTGTGTTTATACATCACTTTGGAGAATTTTTTGGTATGATTTTCTTAAAATTGCATGAGCTTCAGTCCCCACAAAACCTGTAATCACTGTCCATTGGACAGTGCAGCATCGCACTGATGTCTTAACATTTGCCCCTCTAGATACCTCGCCTCACCAGATTCTCCCCATCCTGCCCTCTGCCCACGGAGGCTACTCCCTACAAACCACTTCAAGATCCCTGTGCTCCCTGGCTTCTGTTGTGTTCAGCCAGTGGGGAACCCCACAGAGGACTGGAAGGAAAGCTAAGGGTTGGTTAATGGGTTCCCCCTGATTTCTTCTGTCCCAGGCGCCTCCAGTTGGTCTTAGCCAAAGGTCACTGCTCCCTGCCTGCCCCACCTCCAGTTTGCAGGATCAGCCCTCCCTTTGAGCTTCAGATCTGGAGGTGGTGACACCATGTCTTGCTGAGCCACAGTCATGACTGCATCCTCCTGGTTCCTACCCCACACCTCTTTAAACAGTCTTATTACAGATAAACCCTGTTCAAATGATCCTATTTCAAATGTGTCATCTGCTTTCTACTGAGAACCTGACAGAAACACATGCAGAAGGAGGGCACTCGATGAATATTTGTCAGCAAAGAGGTCTCAAGATTCACACATCTCATGAGTGTGGAATCCCCCAGCAAGACTCTGTGGCCAGAATCCATTCAGTGAAAGACACTCTGTGCGCGTAGACACACACACACACACACACACACACACACACACACATGCTAAGAAGACTTGGAATAGGATTTATCTGTTACAGTGTGACCATGTTCCCTGAACCTCACTGTAGACCTGCAGAAGAAAGGTCCTTCCTTCCACACTGGGTTAACAATTGGCTGGCCTTAAAGCACAATTAAATCAACCACAGTGAGTGAAGTGTTCCAAGGTGAGAATAGACTGTATTTATTCTGGAGCTCATGGCTCTGGCACCTCAGTAGGATGGCTTACTGCTCAACGCTTCTTAAACACAGCACATTTCAAGGTAGTTGCCAACACCTCCAACACCACCCACACATACAGAGACCTCCTATCAGGGCAGAGCCCACAGGACCCCAGTCCGAGCTGCTGTTGCAGAGGAAGTGTGTCTGAAATGCTGCAGACAGGAACACCCTCAGCACTTTGTTAAGCATTGATAGCTTCATATCAAAGTCAAGGTTATGCAGAAGATTGACCAGTCAGGATGCTCTGTGGGTTGGGCTTTTGGAATTGAGAATTGAACCAGAGAAGAAGGGACATGAGTACAATCCTGCCATGTGTTCATAAATACCTGGACAGTCATACTCAGCACCTCCTGCGAGCTGGGGATTGGACTAACCTAGGGATACTGGTTTAACAAGTATTTAAGGAGGCCATGCTACCTGTTAGGTGCTGTATTTTTTCACATGCATTATCTCCCCAATTCCTGAAAGGAAGAAAATGTCTCAAAGAATTTAAACAATTCCAGGTCCTCTGCTTCACCTTCTAAGTGTGTTTTTCACGGCCCCTTTATACCCAGCTTCATGTGCTACATGAGGACAGTTCTTCTAGATGAACCATTTCGGCACAGTGGTGGAGACTTGTAGAGAACTCTGGCAGAGATGGATAGGGGGAGTCCTGGTTAAGAAGTCACCAAAGATGATCAGAGCAACTCAGAAGTGGGCCAGGCTCCGTAAATAACAGTCTTCCAGCTGCCCAGCAAAAGCAGACCGAGCTTAAAATCCATCTGTGGAATCTGCATTGATCTGCCACACGGTCAGGCCCAGAAGGGTGGGAGCCCTGCCACCCTGACAGCCCCAGCAGGCTGGCTCCGAGAAGTACACATGGTACAAGACACGCAGGGAAAGCGCCTGGAGGTTGGTATGCTTACCCCGGGGCAGAAACTCAATCCCTGAAGTTCAAACAGGCAAGAGAGTGGTTAGGAAGCAGCACACCCTGGCAGGCTGCCCAGCTGGCAGGGCTCCACCTTGGAGTCAGTTTGTGAGTCCTTGTCCTCGTTTTCATCTGTAGAATGGGAACAATTGCTTCCTCAAACTGAGGAGAGCTTTGATCTATCTAGGGCGAAGGCATTAAGGTGTCCTCGCAGCTCAACAAGAATCTGAGGGAGGAAGGAAATGAGAGAGGAGTGAGGAACCGATGAGTTCAGGGGTCCCTGGCTGCTACTGACCCAGCCCCTTTGTTTTTAAGCACTTACCATGTGGCAGGGGTGGTGTCCTGACCCATGTATAATCCTGTGGGAAAGCCAGGTATGTCCACAAATTCTAGTAACTAAGATTTTTATGAGAACTTATCACATTCTTAGAAAACTGTCTCATGTAACCCTGCAAGATAGGTAATACAACCCTGGTGTCCAGAGAAAGAGACCAAGCTCCCGAGCAATGAACTGATCGGCTCAAGGTCACACGACTAGTAACCAGAATATCGACTATCTGCTGTAAATGCAGCTGGATGTCAATCACAACTGCTGATGCTGGAAAATGTGACAAGGTCAGAGCTAAGTGGAGGCCCGGGACTCTGTGCGGTGCTGCAGTGTTCTAGCTAGAGTCTGCTGGCTAGCCCTGCCCTTCAGTGATTAAGCCCCTGTATTAAATCCCTTTGAGCTTAAAATACCTGTTGTGGTTACTGTGTCCTGCAGTAACCTTTGACTGTCTGATACAGAGAGAAACAGACCCAGATAAATGCAATCTCTCATCACTTCTAAGACGCAGGCTTTTCACATTTAAATCTCTCCAATATCAGGATAAGTCTTGCAATCCATCGCCTATGATAATTGGCAGTGGTTTTATAGCTTCTTTATTAGTAGCACACAAAATAATGGGACTTTTGACACTTGATGAAGCTTTAGATTTGATGAAGTCCTAGGATACCTGGCGCTTGCTAAAACAGAAACTCTCTCCAGATCCTCTGCTCCCACTTCATTTCCACTTCCCACATTGTATCTGGTGCTCCCAAACTCCAATGGGACCTTGCCTCCCTTATCCTGCTTCACACTTTTTGAAGGTGAAAACAATGTCCTTAGAGAAAGAAGCGTGATGGGACGCAGGTTTTGGGAATGAGGCAGACCTGGGTCTGGAACCCTAATTGCTGTGTGATCCTGTATAAATTATTAACCTTGCTGAGGCCCCCTCTCATCTGTGAATGAGCGTAGCTGTTGGGATTCAATGAGATACACTTTTAAATCGTGGCCCTCGGAAGTCACTCATGAAAGACACTCTGCTCCCTTCTTGTCTTCCTGCACTTCACGGGGTGTGCTTCTCACACCACTCCATCTCCAGGAGCCACCCTGCAAGCAGCTGTCATCATTTATTGTCGGTGGCTAGACACAGACTCAAGTCTAATATACATACGTGTTCATATCCAGCTGCCAAGTTGCAAACTGGGAAAGGAAGGAGAGCTTTTTCAAAAACAAAAGCAAATGGTTGCTTTTATTTTTGCAACTATCCAGCTCTTGTCATGTTTTGATTTCAGGGCTGCTCCAAGATTCCGGGACAAAAGGCACTATATATAAGCATTATTGTGAGACTCAAAGGGGCTCTGAGCAAAACAAAGTCCTTTTATTACAAGAGAATCGAAGAGACTTGTTGCCAAATATAGCTACGGCGTAGAAAATGCATTTTTCTCTTTTCCACACATCACCATCACCACTACCACGCTGCAGCTAGGTCCTTTCCCTGCCAATAAACTCTAACAAAATACTTTTAAGTGATAACAGATAATACATTTTCGCTGTGACCATGTGCCAGGCGTGGTCCTAAGTGCGGGGTCGTATCTCACTGGATCTTCTGGCAACACTTCGAGGTAAGGCACTTTACTGGCCCATTTTACAGGTGAGGAAATTGAGTCTCGGAGAACTTAGGCCACAGACCCAAAGAGATACAGCTAATAAGGAGTGGAGCCAGGATTCGAAATCAGCTGTATGATCTCGGAGATCAGGGTCCTCCTCTGTAACGCAGGGCAGATGGGATTGCGTGGCAAAGGAGGACGTGTGCTCCCTGATCTGCAGGAACCTACCAAGTGCTCACAGGGTACCTTTGAGCGAGGGCCCAATGGTAGCTACCCAGTGGCACAGGGGCAGGAGAATCGCAGGGAGCCAAGGTTCTCTGGGGAGACAGGGCTCTGAGCGAGGCTTT